CTGTGTCTTGCTGCTGCCTTGTTTTCAGGCCAGTGCTATCCTGGTCTTCTGTCTGCCCTTGTCCCTCCTGCTTTTAAAGAAAACAAACCTAAAACCCAAACCAAACAAGAGGCCAGTACATTGATTGTTCCTTTGATTGTGTGATGGAGCAGAGAGATAGGGATAAAAAATATATCTGGAAAATAAGAAAACAAGGTTTGCCTTTGTGTAGAGGTGGGCATTAGTCATACCACTACTCGTGCTCTGTTAAATAAAGGTCATGAAAAGGTTTGCAGAGAAGTCTTCTGGTTTTTCCTCTTCACGAGCAAAATTCCAGCTGGCACTGCTGCAACCCAAGGTGCGTCCGCAGCGTGTCTTTGTGGAGATGTCCCATCCCCTCTGCACAGTGCCAGGCTTGCTGGGGGTTTAGACCTCCCCACAAACTGCAGGATTTCCTTAGACCCGTGTAAATCAGAGCTCTATTAAGAAACAGAAGGGGAATGAGCCACTGAGATGCTTTGCACCTTTCTTCCCAAAGTCTGTGTGTACCATAAATTGGATAGGTCCCCCTGAGACAGAGGGAAACCAAGCTCTTAAAATGCATAGTAAAGGGTTAGTAATTGTTTCAAATAGCTGACTAAAAATGCTTTTTATTACAAGGCTTGAGTTCCCTTTCAAATGTGAAGCTGCTTGTTTGTTTTGGCAGCGAAGGCTGCTTTTACGTCTCCCTGGGGACAGTGGTAAAACTTTCAGCAGCTCAGACACAGAAACCAGCCCTTTGTCAAACCGGAGGTGAGAAACCAAAAGTTGTTCTGCAGATTTCCGAGTCCCCCACAAAGTCTCTTTTGGACTTTGCTGATTAATCTGCACCCTCTGGAAAAGCTTTTGTTAGGGAGAAGAGGGAGAGAGGTGAAGACAGTGTTGTGTATGGATGGGACCAGACTCAGCAGAGGTGTTTGATGCCTGTAGGTAGGTAAGGTACTTGGTGATTTCTTTTTACATTCAGCTGTTAGTTGGTGGGGTACAAGAGCAAGGAATCAGCACTTTTCACACAGTTGCACTGAAAGATGAACAGGACCTGGATTTATTCCTATCGCCACCCTGGGCAGGAGAGCAGAAATCTCTGCTAATCCTGTCCCGAAGGTGTGACAGAAATGTCGACGCCTGCCACAGCTGGTCAGGGGGAGCAGGGAAGGCTTAGGGAGACAGAGGGATGGGATGGGTTTCCCTGGCAGTGCTGCACTCTAGTGTGCTCTGAGTGGGAGCGAGATGGGGACGTGTCTTCCCTACAGCTCTGGGAGGTGTGGGGGAAGGAAGGGCATGAGCTAGGAAGTGTCAAAATTGCCAGGTGAGATTATTTTCTCTCTGGTATAGACAGGTATATAATGTGTCTCTGAGGACATGTTAATTTGCTTTTGTCTGTCTGGTCTCCTCTCCTTCTTCTCTCTCTTTGTGGTTTCTTTTCTTCTCCTGCATCCCTCCCTCTGTGTCTTTCTTCAGAGCATCTATTTTGTACTCTCCCTCCTCCTGGTATTTTCCTTAGATGGCTCTGATTATTCAGCAGCTCTGCTGAACACAGTTCCCTCTCTGGAGAGGGAGAAATGCTGCACCAGAACAGCACTTTCTGCCACTGCCGCAGACAGGTCGGGCAGAGGATGGGCTCCTTTGCCTGCTAGTGCTGAGCAGGAGGACGATGGAAAGGGTACAGTGGGAAGGCAGTGACAGGGGTGCACCCTGCATAGGCCTTTATGAGCCAGCCTAAGTAAAAAAGCCAAAAAGCTGCTTTCCTTTTCTCCTTCAGGAAGGCTTTCCCTGAATTAATTCACATCAGCCTGTATGAAAAGTAGCTGAAAGATATTACAGTGTAGCTCAGCTGGGATTTTTTAGGGGCAACATAACTGTGAACAAAGATCCCCTCCCCACCAGGGCAACCCTGGTGTAATAGTGTTGAATTTCAAGATTTCACAGTAGTATAAAGATGTTCACAAGAGAAAACTTGGAAAGCGATCAAAAGAATACTGTCAGGACATTTCTTCTGCTCCTGCCCCTTAGCAGTGGCCTGGAGGAACTAGTAAGAAGTTTTGGGGGAATTCAGGAAGCGTTTGCAGAGCTGGCACTCAGGACTGGCCCTTGGTGTCCCACCTTTGGCCGCCCTGCAGGAATGAGATACCTGTGTACAGTCTTGAAGCAGGCATGTCAGCATCAGGTGATGATCAGCAGATGGTGCAGGCATCATCGCTGTTGTGGCCCCTGCTCGATGTCGGTGTGCGGCACACCATGGGCTTCCCCTACATCCCTGCTGGTGCTGGGAGCCTGCGTGCCCCAGCTGCCCTGCAGCATGGTGGCCTCTGCTTGCATGTCTCAGGCAAGAGGCTGGGTACTCCCAGGGCCCACTGGTGTCCTCCCACCCCGTGTCAGGGGGGGAAGCTTCCATGCAGCCAGGGGCTCGCTTGCTGTATAGCCTGGGGAGTGGGAGAAGGCTCACTTGCCAGAGTAATGCACTGCAAGGGATGCTCGTTTTCCTGAAACTTTGGCATTAAGAAGGGCAGGACATCAAGCAGCAGGTTTTTGTGGTTCAGGCAGTTTTTGTGGCAAAACTCAGGAGGTGTGAGGTGATGGCGGTTGTTGTTGGCTTTTGGTAAGAGTGATGGAGTTGGCCACCTCTCAGCGTGCTGTAGGAGCAGAGAGCCTGTTCCTGCAGACAGTACACTCCATCCTCCCTTGGCAATCGTCAGCTTTGTGGTGATTAGTCCTAGATGCTTGTCCTCCAGTGGCAGTCTTAATGTAACATCTCCAGATGCTGGAAATTAATTTTCTCTGTCCATCCCTCTGGAGTTAGTAAAAGTCTTGAGGCTTCCTTCTGCCAAGGCAACAGCACCAATGAATCTCTTCAGGATCACTGTGTATTGAATTTGGATGCCTTCCCTAATAGCTCCTGATGGCTTTCTCCTCTTGCTTTGCAGATCACGGGTGTTATCCTTCTCGCAGTTGGCGTCTGGGGCAAGCTCACCCTTGGCACGTACATCTCTCTCATTGCTGAGAACTCCACCAATGCCCCCTACGTGCTCATCGGGACGGGTACCACAATCATTGTCTTCGGGCTTTTTGGCTGCTTTGCCACTTGTCGTGGCAGCCCATGGATGCTGAAACTGGTAAGCATGCCAAAGTGCCTTAAGCAAGAAGGGAAGAGGTTTTGTTGATGTATTGGGATTCCCTCCCACCCCCTGCCAAGCTTCACCAGATGTTAACATGGTTTTTTAGGCACATAAGCTAGATTTTCTTGATCTTAATGTTCAACATGTGTGTCTTTTGGACAAAGAAGGGGAAAAAAATCTTTGCCAAAACCAGTTGTTGATTGAGTATGAATGAATTTTGCTACCGCGCAGCGTACAGGCCATGTGTGATTGGGAGCAGGGTGAAATGCTGCTGATTAATTATTCTGTGAGTAATTCTACAATTGTTCTGTTTTTCTGTGAGCCAGATAGATAGGTGTATTTACAATCTTAAAAATGTCCAAAGCATCATAAATGTGAAATTCATTTGACATATATTTTAAAGGGGTCATTTTAATACTCTGATGTGAAATCTATGGAAAAAATAGTTGGTACCTTCTAAAAGCATACCAGCCTTTCTTTTTCTCCTAACATTCACTAGAATAAAAGAAGTCAACCCCAGAAAACAAAGTTCTGTATGGTATGTTTGCCCTCATCTCAAAAGCAGCATGGACTCGAGGTACACTAAGCAGAGGTACAGCAGCTGTCTCTCAGTCCAGTTTAACCTATTTCCCTATAAGTTTCTCTGTTCTGAGTTTTCCAGCCTGCCTTAAAATGCAAAGCCTATATGATAAACTGTATTTTTAAGAATATTGAGGAGCAAAATCCTACATGTGTAATGATTTGAAGGGTGGAAATAGCACTTGTGATGCACTGAGACAGTGGAAAAGGGCTTGGCAGTACAATGCATCTCCTGCTACAATATTTTGGGGCGGATTTTCTAAGGAGATGGGACGATTCTTCTCCAGTTTGAACTGGATTTAAAAAAAGGACATCTTAAAGAGAGTTAATTTCCTCAATTGATGGCACAGTAGGGGAGAGGTAGCAGCTGCAGATCAGTCAGCAAGTATATGCTGGTGGCCAGCTGGCATGTACCTAACGCTGTCATAGGCACACCACTGCTGTCTCTTGCTGGTGATGTGCTGTCAGGGCACGTGTAGAGGCTTGTCGGAGTTACTGCAGTCCAGATGGGAGAGGGATAAAGGTGAAAGAAGATCTAAATCCACAGGAATTCAGACTCTGCTAGTTGCTCCATAAGTCATGTAACTTTTCTATATGTATGCCACTTACAGTGGCATGTGCTGTTCCAAGCACATGGTTTTATTTTCACTGTACACCTAAGAAATATTTCAAAACTTTCTTTGTCTCCTGAACAGAATACAGGCAGTGATTTGACAGCTGCATTGATTGTAGAGAATGATTTTTCTACTTCTCCCTTCACTGTTGTCCTCCCTTCCCCAACAATCTTCCATTAAAAATAAACTTCCCTCTTTCCACTAAATCCTGCTAGAACTGAATTTAATTTAAAATGTTTCCTTTTTTAATTAACTGTTATTTAGCACATGGAGAAAAAAGGTAATTTTCCCTCCAGAAGATTAAGCCCCAATTTCAAATTTTACCATCCCACTTTGCATTTTTTTCTTTACCTTCTTTATTTCTGCTTAGATGTATTTTTAATAGTTTGTGAATGTCTACACTGAAAGCGCTGGTTTCAAGGTTTATTTAGTTCCAGATCCAAATGCTGCTCCTAAAGCCAAACATGGGCCTTGGCCTAGCAAAGTGTTTGAAGCATCTGTCTAGTATTACTGTGAGAATATGTCCATCGAAGTCAGTGGTTCAGTTCATTCATTGGAGAAACTTCAGGAATCGGGCAGTAAATCCCAGTCTAGCAGTGAGATGGATAAACACGAACCAAAACACCTGGAGAAGCCTATTTACTTTAGCAGAGTGCCATGCAAACATAAAGGGTCTGTTTGTATTCCTTATTGCAAGATCAAAACCTGAGTGACCTGGATCCATCTCTAGCATGTGAGTGTGTTTTAATTTATATGAGAACGCTAAGAAATGTGGGAAGAGAAATGTTGGAAAAGCCAGTAATTAGACAATACATATCATTTGTGAGTTGTATAGACACATATTCAGGCAATAACCTATGTATCGCCTCTAAAAGACCTTTGGTTTATTAACATCTTTAAAGGGTGTCTAGAGCAGAAAGTTAAATTTTATGTGATAACTAGGCAGAATCTGTGCTGAGACAAAAGCCTGTCACGTTCTGACTTCTTTTGCCTCCTTCCTTTTCAGTATGCCATGTTCTTGTCCCTGGTGTTCCTGGCTGAGCTAGTGGCTGGCATTTCAGGGTTTGTGTTTCGCCACGAGGTAGGTGGAAATGTGCTGAGTTCGCATATGGCAGCGCCTCCCGGGGCAGGAGCTGCTGAGAAGTTCTCTGGAGCGTGGAGAATGTGTCGGTCGCTGAGCTCGGTGGCTCCATACGCATCTCCAGGGATGCGACTGATGTGCAACAATAACATGTACAGCTCTTAAAAACTGATGCGATTCCAAATGAAGGGATTTAGCCAAAGCTCTTGGCCTCAGCTGCCTGATAATTTACTCTGGAATTATCGGGTTTTGTGTGTCCATCATGTAAGATCTTCTTTACTCTTTTACATATGCTGAGGGCTGCAAAATAGATTAAATACTTTTCTTAAACATAGCTTCTTCAGCCAGGCAAGTGCTTGTTTATATAAGGCAAAGAGCACTTCTGCATCAGACCAAACTCGATGTTTTGTAAATCTTTTTCTTTTGGGGGGGAAGGGAGTGGGATGGGATTTTGTTTCTATCCTGAGAATAAAGAGAGATTAGAAATAGAGTGAGGTAGGAAACTGGGACAGGAAGAAGCTTTAAAAAATCATGATGGTCTAGATTTGTAGTAGCACTTCTGCTTTATCCACTGTAATCAGGTCTATCTCTGGCTTTAAGTCCATGGACCTACGTGCCATTAGTGCTGAACCAGAACAACTCTAAAGACCCTCCTTGTCTCTTCTCTTTGTATTAACTGGCTTTCTAGTCTCCTCTTTTGACATGAGATTTCCCTTGCTATAGGCTTTTCTGGTGTCTACCCTTGCAAGTGGTGGATAGTTTTTAATTTGATCCTGAAATACCTGTCCATCTGCTGAGGATTGCCATTTCATCTTGCCTAACCTGTGGCAGCCTCAGCGGCAGGTTGCTGCTCCCTTTTGGGAGAGGCAGTCTCTTGTGAAGGTCATGTGGGTTGCCCAAATCATCTGCTACCCAGCCCCTTTACCACCCAGTCAAAGTGCCTTTCCCGGTGATGTGCCTGACCTTCTCCAGCTGAGAGACCTCTTCTTCCGTACCCAAACACCTTTGGTGCTGGGGACAAGGGCTGCCACCTGGTCAGGGGATTCGTGTCTTCTTTTCATGTCACTGGTTTCTGTCACCAAGGAGTTTGCCCAAGCTTTGGCTTCCACTAGGCATCCATGAGCAGAGAGAAGCACGCAACCTTCAGACTTAGTGCTGGAACAAAGTGTTTGGGGAAAAAGCATCAAAGGGTATCTTTCTTAGAGGTTAAGTCATTTTCTGTTTTTTAAAATGTAGCAGTTTGATGGGGTGGTTTTCTTTCTATGTCCAATAGACCCCACTTGAAAAATGGCATGAGTGACTCCTGACAGTTAAGAAGGAGATCTGCCAGCTCTGAGAAAACACTTAAAAACGAGTGGGAGGGGCTAGTTTGAGCGCCTTGTTAGGTTTGGAAATGCATTTGCTTCTGGCGAAAACTTCTTCAGATGTTACGCTTTTTGTTGCTTATGTGGGCTGTTTTTTTCCTTGCCCTCATAGATCAAGGATACTTTTCTTAGGACATACACTGAAGCAATCCAGAATTACAACAAGAACGATGAGCGGAGCCATGCAGTGGATAACGTACAGGAAAGTGTAAGTCTAAAATTGTATATTAAAGATTAATAAATAGAGACAAAGCACACATTCAGATTTGATCACAGAACATAAAATGTGGATGGCTCAAACTGCAAGCTCTATATTGCAAGCAAAATTAGAGGCTGGCAAAGGTGACCTAAAGATCAGATGTCCAAGATGCCTAAGTTTTAATGAACAACCTATGTAATAAAGACAGGGCCTGTCCCGTTTGCTTGTTGTTGGTCCCAAATCTTGAATTAGGTTTAGGAGCCAGTTTTATCCCTTGAGAACGAGGTGTTCTTAAGGGAATCTGTCAATAGGATTATGAAATGTTGTAAATTTGAGCTGGAGGACACAGGATTTTATAATCTAGTATCCTGTATCACTGTAAACTGCAGCAGTTCTCTTCACAAGTACAATGAGAGGCTGGCAAAGGAGACCTAGTGAGTTAAGGGAAGAAACAGGGTGTATTTTCTCCAGAGGAAAAGGAGGTGGACAAATGTGCTGCTGAGGTTGTCAGTGAAAGCTGTTCCCTGGCCATGCTGGAGGGATGGGTTAGGTGCTCGCTAGAAGAGCCATTCTCACCCACGGGGTGCAGTAGCAAGGCAATGGGAGGTTTCCTTGCCTTCCAGCAGGGCACAGGGCATGAACAAATGCCACAGCATGGCCAAACTAGTTGGAGATGCCAACCACAAGGGACCAAGCCCACCAACTACAACACAGAGCGATAAAATTCACATTTAAATTCCTACTGGAAACTGTACCATAGCAAGAAGCTATCCCTTCAGCTCACAATACATTCTATGAGCCAATTTGCTTTTCATACGATTGTAACTTCCTGAACAGCTGAAATTTTAGTGTAATTGTATCGATGACTTCTATATCTTCTTTAGAAATTACAGCTGTAATGTTGGACCCCTCAGCGTGTTTGAAACTGTGTCTTTAACTTGGCTTCTCTGGGTTGGCAGATTACTGTACTGCTCTAAACTGAGTATATTCTGCTGTCAAATTGTTTGTTTGCCTAATGTTAACCTGTATTTTGAACTTCTGATTCCTTGGAGTTGGCTAAACTAAATAGTTTTGAGTAATTATTCAGTGTTTCTGCCGTAGCAAAATGTTCATTTCATTTGTAGCTCTGTTTTTACAGGAACTGCATTTATAAGCCCTTTTCATGCAGAAAATTCAGCACGTATTCCATATCTTTGAGTGACTTCTAGCTTAGCATCTAGAGCAGAACATCCTTCCCAACTTAGGTTTTTTCTGCTGATTTCATAGACACACTCTATGAACATATGGTCTCCTTCTATTCATGGCTCAGTGAATTTTCCTAGAAATTATTTTGGTGAGTTGGAGAGGCTTGCTTCACCTTAGCAATTTGTACTAGTTTGACCCTGTATGTGTTATATGCAATTGTATGTAATGCTTTGGGGTTTTTAAGGCCATTTTTTTGGACCACATTGTAAGGCTCTGTCTTGAATTTCCATGATCATCTTTAATCAAATAAATAAATAAGCAAAGGAAACAAACAAATGAAAAAAACCCCAACAGACATTCAACTAAAAAAGATGGCTTTATGGCTGGACCTTTGTCAAATGTTACAAATAATAGCTCTGCTCATAAAGTACCTTTTTTTTTAGTAGGTTGTCTGCTCCCATCTTCTGTAAATGACATTCCTGATACTTTTGTGATAGATGGGGTGGTATCTACTTTTCAAAACTGGAGACAACCTGTCTCTATGTTGATTATAAGTTTATTAAGTGGGCAGTGATGATTCTGTACTATTTTTAATTCTGGTTTGTTTGTTTTAAATCTGCTTCGTATTCCTCATAGCTGAGCTGCTGTGGCATTCAGAGCTACACCAACTGGAGCACCAGCCCTTACTTCTTCAAACACGGCATCCCTACAAGCTGTTGCATGAACTCCAGTGACTGTAATACTCAGGATCTGCGCAACATGACCGTGGCTGCCACTAAAGTAAACCAGAAGGTACCAGTAACATTGTGCCAGAGGCAGTTGTTATGGAACCATCCAGTACACCAGTGAAGCGTATGGCTGCTTACAATTGCATTTCGTTTCAAATGGTTGGTTGATAACGTGTGTATTGGGCTGGAGTGATGGTAAGGATGGGCTTTGCCCCCTGCTTGCTTTCAAATTCTTTAAGCTGGCCTTTCTCAAATGACCAGTGCGTACGTTTCTGAGGAGGAGGGATTTTGTTCCCCTTCCTCGCAGCAGAGGTTGAGGTACGGCACTGCACGCAGACGCAGTGCTGGCTGGGCACAGGACTGCAAGTGGCATGTGCGCTTGTCTCCCCTTGAGGGTTAGGTTGGTCTTCTCTTCTTGGTCCTGCTGGATGGGGTGGGTTTTTGTTGAGGACAAAGATGTAGCTAGGTGGAGGGAAGGACAGGTTTTACTCTTGCTTATGTTCAAAGAGTAATTTCACTGCCGGAGCCTAACTGTCATCCCAAACAGAGAAAACATGGGTGATGGACAACAAGTGTTGTGGTTGGCTGGTACATTTACAGTGACTCTTAAGAAGATCTTTGAACATGTGCTGCTGCAAGCATAGCGTGGCCAAAGTGACCCCTCCCCTGGGGTCACCTAAAGGAGCAGGTTGGGAAAACAGAATAGGGTTGGGAAAGCAGGTTGGGAAAACAGGAAGAAAAGGAATAATTGGAGAATAAAAATACAGAAAACACAAAGGAAGGGAGGAATGAAGAGAAAAGAACGCAGCATATGTAGCAGACACTGCAGTGCAGAAATACAACTCAAGTTATTGCTTTAAATGCTAGTGCATCATCAATTCTTTCTTTCTCACTTGAGATTTGCAAGAGAGGCAACAGACTGTTGGTAAAAGGGATATTGTGGCCAAATTGTAAGTTGCAGCATAGCTTAGTCAGACTTAAGGATTATTTTCTTTTTTGTTTTTGTTTTCAGAGTTGAATTTAAAAAAATAAATAAAAGTCCTGAGCAGCTAACAGGGGAAATATGGAAATACCTTTCTGTCTTCTGTTTCTCTTTTTCACCTCAGTCACCTGTGAATAAGAAGGTTGGAGTGGTGGCTGAGCGTGGCCTGAAACATCTTTGAAAACCAGTCAAGTGGACAACATTTTCTAGCATGTATTAAAAAAAGGATACTAGAGGGTTATTTTCCACTAAGCCTTTCTTTTCTGTAATAGTTTAATGAGAGCCACTTGTTGCGGGCATATGTGGGACATCAGTGACATCCATCTGTTATGAAACTCACAGTGGCCACCAGCAAAGCAATCTTGCTGGGTTGCATGAGTATGAAGGATGAGCCACTCCATTCAGTTGCACTTCGTGAACTTTAGTAACTTTCCATTTTTGCAGAAGTGGAAAGAAGGTGAGAGGCGGGATGGGGTGGATCTAGGGGATTTGCAGTATGGCCAGCATTCCTGGCAAGCAGAGTGCCTCCTGGGCAGTCTATCCTGAGACCTGCTTCTGCCCACCTTCCCGGCAGGAAAGCTTTCTGGTGTGACTGGTACTCCACCAGCAAGTCCTACCTTTCCAGTTTGGGATGACCATGAACTCTGAACCTTTCCTGGCTGTATAACTGAGTGGGTGCCATTTGCATTGCCACCACCAGTCTGATGTTTCCCCAAAGTGCTGGGCTTGCTCTGCCTACACAGAGAAATCCCTGTCCACTTGCGAGTTCCTCTTAGCAAAGGATGCCTGCAAAATTGTAGGAAGCAGCTAAGGGATGAATGAGCTTGTGCTAGTCCAGGGCTAGTAACTCACTTCCAGCCATGCTTGCTCCTAAGTGTCTCTCCTGCAAATGCACAGCTTGCCTGACAGAAGAGGAATTCTTCAGGAAGCAATTGACTTAATTACTTGATTTGATTACCTAGGGGAAGTTTGAATGTCCTGCGACATCTGAAATATTGTGCCCCATTTTCTGAGATAGCCATTTGTAATCAAAGGTTGTAAAGATTTCTGTTTAGCAGTTGTGAGATCTCAGAGTTGTCCCAAATGTTTGAGCAAGGTGGGATGTTTCTGAAAGGGGCGTGAGAACAAAAAGCAAGCAGGAGGAAATATTGTGTGTCCCTATGCTTTCACTTCAGATAGGAAGCAAACGTCATTGCCTCTGACCCCAGCCCCTTGCTTATCTTGGAAATAGACACTTTGCTCTCTGTGTGTTGGAGAAAAAGGAAAAAACGTATTGTCTGTGTTGCGGAAGACCCTTGTTACCGTTCCTATAGATAAGTATATTTGGACTACACCTTTCTGGTGGATCTTGCAAAACTATCAGTAAGACAAGTTCTTGATGAGCTAATCAAATTACTAGCAGTTTGTGAGGACTGATGATGAATTATCCAAAGAGGATTAAACTAATTATATAATTGCAGGACTAAAAGACAACATTCCTGGATTTTCTTTGCCAATTCTGCCACTAACTTGCTTAGTGACCTTGGGTAAATCATTTAGTTTCTCTCTCTGTTTCTTCATCTCAGATGGAACTAATACCTAACTTTAAAAGCTGTCATTAAGATTAGCTAATTAATGTTCACATAGTGCATTTAATCTTCAGAGCTCATTACCAACGAATCTCAAGAACTATTTCTCTCTAAAATCTTAATAAAGGAACAGATGCATGGACTGAAGAATGATCGGATACTTGCTAAATTGTAACTTCTGTCTTCTGAATCAGCACCCAGATGTGCACACACAGTGCTTCCCATACTTCTGTACTGTACATGCAACTCTTGGGTGCTTCTTGCACTCTTGCTCTGTGCACAGTAAGGACTGAGCAATTAAGCCATATTTATGCAATGCACTTCAGGAAACAGATGATTGTGATTTGGGAAAACATAGTCTTCAAATGAGGAGAGTGATCAAAACTATCTCCCTTTCATGTTTTTTAACGAGATCTTCTGTCTCCCTCAAATTACCATTGCTGTTAGATGTTGCATCTCTTGAAGGCTGTTGAACAGAGCAGATTTCAGAAGAGCTGGGAGAACATTAAGCCATGTCAGACAGAATAAAAGCACTGCTTGAGAAATCTAATCTCATTTCATAACATGTAAGACACACACAACTATAGTTACTTGATGTGTTAAATAAGCAAGCTTGAATCTGACATATTGTACACTGTTGTAAGACATAATTAGGGATTAATATGTACACTTAAACATCTCAGAACTGAATTACAGCTATGCTGGTCCTCAGCTACTATTAGGTTTACCACTTCATTACTCTCAGGATTAAATAAAATGTCTTCTGATATTATAAAAGAGGTTAAAGAAATGATACAATTTAGTTCATGAATGGCCTGTCTCTAATAGAGGACCTCATCCTTTCCTTCTAGCTGTTGTTTTTTGCAAGCATCTAATGCTCTGAAGTCACGTAAAGAGTTCCTAAAGTGTTTGCAGAAGTGAGGGGGGTGTGGATGGGGGTCGAACACAGAGATAATTCTCTCTTAAGGGACAGGAGTCCAAACTGGAAAAGGGAACTCAGTGTTACTTCTGTTTTTTCCAACTTCTGACAAAGTGGATAAAGTTATAACACTAAATAAAATGCCTTGGGACTGGCTTTAGACTGAGAGTGGTGTTGGTCATTTGAAGAAGCATGGCAGAAGGGGCCAAGGGGTGGCTTTCAATTGTGTGGGCAGATAGGTTAGTAATGAAAGAAAATAGACGTTATCCTTTTTTTCTTCAAGTTTTACATCACTTGTTTAGATTCATTTAGACACCACAAACTAGGAAAGCTAATTTCAAATGCTTTTTTGAGGGGTAGAGTAGGTGAGGGGAGAAATTTGGCAAAAATTATCATACCGAGGGGAACATCTCAAAAAAGCCTATCCAAGAGAAGGGCAGAAATGTGTATGAATCTTCTGGCCCCGGGGTGGGCTGTGAATTGAGGCACGAGGAAGCGAGTCAGCTGATGGAGTCAGGGTCTGAGCTAGAGAGAGAAAATTGGGTTTGGGGAGCAGGACAGGGAATTTTATGTCCAAGAGCAAATGAACCAAGAAACTTCATACAAACCCCTTGATAACTTTGTTATATGGTTTAAAGTTATATACTACTCAATACCTTGCCTGGTGTCCTTTGACAGGTGAAGGCAAGCAGAAATGCCTCACTGGACACCTGAAGCATGCTTGTATTAAATATCTGGAGTATTAGGAGATCAGCATCATTTATTCATTTTTGACACCTGTATTGTATTATAACATTACCTTATATTGTTACTGGTTTGGTTTCAGGTCAAAGCTATATTAATGTTTTTTAAAACATTGTGAACTGTCTTTCTTTAATAAGACCTATAAAAATGAGTGCAACATCACATTTAGCTTTTAAAAGTACTGAAATACATTTGTTTCTAAAAAGAACTGGTTTTGCCACCACTTTCCATCATTCACTCAGAATTGCTGTTAAATAAAAAGGTGACATTGTTGGAAATTACAGCAAAAATATTGTCTAGCCCAAGTCCATTTTAAATGAGAAATTCGTGTGTATGCATTTGTGGCAAGGAAGGTTGATACAAGGAATTATGATGTTTGTTTTCCAGGGCTGTTATGACTTGGTGACCAGTTTTATGGAGACAAATATGGGGATCATAGCTGGAGTGGCTTTTGGGATTGCATTCTCACAGGTAAGTGCATAAACACTTCCCTTCCCCTCCTTTTTTTCCCCTCTCTCTTTTTCTTTACCCAGACTTCAAGGAAGGAAGGATTATGGAAAGGGACTGAACTCAGCATGCTCATTAGTCCTGAGGTCATCTGTTCATTGATTTTCTTTTCTTCAACTTAAATGAAGTTTCTCCTTGGGAATATCAGTTATGGTTGAGCTAATGACTAGCTCAAGGAAAACAACTTGTCCCTCCACTGGGTCAAATAGAGGTTAACCCAATAAAACATTGGCTTATAATGGAGCATAAACAGCTAAGAAGACAAATAGCTTATCCATTGTTTAGGTAGGCTTCTATGTTCTAAGCATTCTTATTTTTTCTTAAAGGAGTCTAGAATTCAAATAAGAGTGTACCTTCAGGCGTCCCCATCCTGGACCTGGAGGGGGCACCTGGTTTTGGTCACCAAATTTTTTTTTTCTTCCTTTTAGCACTGAACAGAGATCTGCCGAAATCAGATTATTAAACCAACTCCTTGCCTGCACCATAAGGGATTTGGCATGGGAGGGACAAGAGGAGAGCTACGAAGGCATTTGCTGCTCCATGATATTCAAACTGCCTTTACCTAGACAGGAGTTGGGGAAACTAAAGGTCTGGTCAGAAGCTTCTGATGAAGAAGGGGCAGGAAAACACCTGCATCTTGCAACAAGATGCTTCTTTATACTAGTCACTTCATGTGTGATGGCAGGGACTCTCCTGGAAACATGCAAAAATGAGAGAGAGGGAGACAGGGGCAATGCAAAAGTGCTTGCAGAATGGTTCAGCAAAAATGCACAGCAACATGTATGATGCCTGAACCACTTCCACCTGAGAGGCACTCTGCCTTCTCTCTGCAGAGTGTACAATAGTACAACTGCAAATGTCATATTCTAAAACAATCATGCAACTTTCATTTGCTTCATTCACACAATATTAAAAATCTGGGTCCTGAGGTGACACTGAAAATATGAATATATCTATCTGTTGAATGACTTTTGTTTATCCAGTGGTTAGAAAAAATGAGGTGATAGGAAAAATTATTTGATGACTTCTTAAAACTCATGAATTCAGTTAGCAATCTGTAAGTTTACACTGTGCTGCACTGGAAACAAGTGATTTGCCAGTGCTGTTGCCAGTGATGGGCAAGTGAATTAATGGGAGGGCTGTGGCTGCCCTCTTGCCCCTGCTGCCCCATATGGTCAGCCCATGCTCAGCTGCACGGTGTTTTAGTCACATCTCTCTGAGGTTTAATTTGCTCAGCAGTTACGATGACCTCCAGGTTCTTCAGAGTAACTGCCCCCAAGCCGTGTGGAAAATGGCCACCGCGTCCTCTCGGTCAACGTGCGCACAACCCGAGGGAGCCGTAAAACTGTTTGGGCTCAGAGCAGCTGACTGCCCTGCCTTGGGCATATCTGGAAATCTGATGCCTTCTAGCCTAGGTGTTAGATGTGAGAAGCCCATGATTTGGCCTGTCAGCCTGTTTCATGTGGGTGTAATTGTTGGTTCATCATACCGCCAGCTGCCCAGAGCGTGTGCGTGGGTGTCAGGTCTTCGGGATCCAGAAGCAGTGAAACCACCAGTCTGGAGCTCTGGAGCTCTTGGTGCATGGAGCAGGAGGAGGTTTTTGGTTTTTTTCTTAATAGGCTATTCTAGTTCTTGTTGAATGGTCACGGTTGTCTTGATACTCTTCTCCAACCTTGATTATGACTTGATTACTGCTATAGGACTCTGAGCTCTTACTTCAGTTTGGTTTCTAGACAGCCAGAAGGCTATAAAGCATCTTTTAAAATGCTTCATATAAAACTATCCAAAAGAAAAACGGGATGAGTAGAATTTTACAGTTCATATGCTGCTGGGGCAAATGCCTCAGTCAGGACCAATGTTACCTGAAAGCCTTTAATCGGTGTATCATACGTATGATAGGCAAAGCATCATCGTATCTTGCCTGAAAGTCGTTTGCAGCTGGGAGGGAGACTGTAGGAAGAGTGCAGCTGGAATTGTTAGTATTTTGGTGCATGTCGGGATGTTTACTCTAGGTCATCAGTTGTTTGTGAGCTCGACACAGGAAGGCGGGCGAGCAGCGCGGGCAGCGTGGTCCCTGCAAGGGGAGCCCTTTGGCGCGAGGCGAGATTAGCGCGAGAGGCTGCAGGCAGCACGGGGGGGAAGGCACTTTGCCGCTGCGGCTCCAAGTGAAAACCAAAGTATGTTTTGATGTGGCATTGGCAGCTCGCGCTGCCTGGTGGCAGTGTGCGCCCTGCTGCCAGCTGGGGATGTCGCTCCCCTGCGTGAGCACAAGGCTTTGGCGCTCCGAGTGGATACTCAGCTGCTCGGGGTGTTTGCGAATGTGTAAAAAGGAGAAGAGAGGGGATGCAGGGGAGAAAAATGCATCTCTCCTGGGGTGTGAAGAATAGAAGGCAGCCAGTTATCATTTACTGCCTAATCTGTTTTGCTGGACCCAATTAGGGACTGTGTTTACAAATTGATTTCAGGTTAACCGTGGCTGGCAGTAATGCCAGGCAGTGCTCCAGGTGTAGGCAAGGTTTCACTGTTCCTACTGAGAATAAGTTTAATCTAAATAAAAGACAAATTAGATCATGTTGCTCTTCTACAGTAAAGCACGCTCAAAGGCCTTTCCTTCACATGATTTGGTAGGTGTTGACTAGCATGGGGAATGTGCTGATTCCCAGAAATAGGGAAAGTTGATGTAACGGCATTGCACATCTTACAGGCCTGGCACAGACCTCCCAGTCAGAGTCAGAGTTTTAAAAAAACTGCTGTGTTGCTGACATTGTCTGCACTGCTCCTTGGGTTTGAAATAATAACAATAAAATAAAATTTGATTGTTTTTGGAATCAGATGCCAATGCTGACTTCCAGCTGGAATAATTTCAGTTTAGCAGGTGCTCTTCAGAGCAGAAAAATGATTGCTGTGTTGTGCCCAACAGAGAATAAAATTATGCAAGTAGCATAGATGATGAAGAGTTGTCCCTAGATAAAACTAGAGCACAGGCATTGGCTTAAGGGGCACAAGAGGCAGGGTTTGGCAGGGGCTTATAGATTGTGGTTGCAGTAGAGTCCCTGAGTAGGGGAGTCTCAGTGCAGCGTTAAGGCCAAATTATTCCTTTTGTACTGAAGGACTGGAAGCCAGATGCTCTCCATGTGCTCAAAAATAGTTCCTGAGCACGCACGGTTCCCATCATTTGAAGACACGTTCTCATGCAGCTACAGTCCCTCTCTACAGGGCAGCATCCACCTGTCCTCTTCACTGTTAAGGTTAATGTGAGTAGCTCTGCCTGACTGTGGATGCAGTTCTGGTGCAGACATCATCCACCTTGTCTGCTGCAGCTCCTGTCTGAGTACAGGGAGGCTGAGACTTAGCCCTAGCACAGGATTACACTTCAGTCACCCCTTGTACCAGGGTTAGGGAGTGGGATCCATATCGGGATCCAATATGTGATTTGAAATCTAATATAAGACTGATTTTGTTGCTTCTAAATACTAATCACTGTGGATTCAGCATGGAGATAGGACCTGTGCCAGAGGCACACCACAGCACAGGAGGCTGACTTAGGTAAGTGATTTGTGACATGGAAAATTTGGTGTCTTCTAAAACAGAGGCAGGGAATCTGGATGCTTGAAGATCTGCATGTTAAGAATATGGCAAAGTAAATCATTCAACTAAACAATTATTCCTGATGAATAAAAAAATCTGTTTTTAGCTTACCTGATCCACTGATGAATTCCCAGTTAGTTCAACACATTTCTATTTACAGAAATTCTCACAAAGAATGAGAAATGGTGAAGATACCAAGACCCAAAATAAAATGGAAATTCAAATTGCACTTCAGTTACTCTTCAGTATAATAAGATGTAATGAATATGTCATGCAGGACAGCTTCCAGTCAAGGTTAACTCCTGCAAAATAACTATATTAAAAAGCCAGTTATCATGTTTGTGATGGGAGATAAGATTGCTAGGAAGTTGCTGTGGATGGATTTCAGTGGTCAGATCTGAGATATGCATGAGATGGCTGCTAGAAACCATGGAGAGATGAATAACATATGCACTGCATTCTGCTCTCTGGAATGAGCTTTGGCCAACAGGATGGTAGTAAAGAAGACACACACCCGAGGGATATGGGTTTTCCAGTGTTCTAAGTCAAATAATTTGTCAGCATTTTCAAGTTTGCTGCAGCAAGACCAGACGTACCAAGACAAACTCTCACTTTTCTGTCTAATAGTTCAGAGGGCCAAGATAATCTTAGAAAAAAAGAGAAGAAAGGGGAAAAGTGAGAGAGAATACAAATGCAGAACCAAGTCTCAAAAAACTGGGACTATTAAAAAAAATTAATAAGTGGATAAAAGTTGAAATGGGGCACTTGAGAGACAATGGGAGAGAAGGGAAATGAATGCAACTTCTAGCAGCTAGTTTCTTTGCGGGGATCCTTTTATGCTGATTCCTCCGGTTTTTCAAAGGAGCTGCGGCGACCTGCTGCACAATAGGATAAGGGGCTTCCTCCCGTCGGAAGAG